GGCTGGGACAGAAGGGATGGCAGCAGACTGAGACACGCTGAGGCTGGGGACTGGACTACAGCTCCCCGGCTAATTTTTTAATCTCTACCAAGGCTGGGAGAAGGCAAACTAAACCTAAAAGAACTTCTGAAGGCATCATAATCCCTGACTTCAAACTACAGAGCTACAGTACTGAAAATAGCCTGGTATTGGCATAAGAACAGACAGGAGAATCAATGGAACTGAATAGAAGCCTGGATTTTAATCTACACACCTTCCAACACCTAATTTTTGACAAAGAAGCAAAAAATATCCAATGGAAAAAAGAAAGTATATTCAACAAATGGTGCTGGCATAACTGGATATCAGCATGTAGAAAAATAAAAGTAGACCTATATCTATCACTATGCACAAAAATCAAGTCTAAATGGATCAAAGACCTCAACATAAAGCCACACTGAACCTTATAGAAGAGAAAGTGGGAAGTATACTTGAACGCATTGGCACAGGAGACCACTTCCTAAATATAACCCTAGCAACACAGACACTGAAACAATGAATAAATGGAACCTTCTAAAACCTGAAAAGCTTCTGTAAAGCAAAGAACACAGTCAACAAGACAAAATGACAGCCTACAGAATGGGAAAAGATCTTCACTAACCCCACATCAGATAGAGGTCTGATCTCCAAAATATACAAAGAACTCAAGAAATTGGACACCAAAAGATCACATAATCCAATTAAAAAAAATGGAGCACAGACATAAACAGAAAACTCTCAACAGAGGAATATAAAATGGCTGAAACACACTTAAGGAAATGTTCAGCATCCTTAGTCAGCAGAGAAATGCAAATCAAAACAACTCTGAGATTCCATCTTACACCTGTAAGAATAGCCAAGATCACAAACACTGATGACAATTTATGCTGGAGAGGTTGTGGGGGAAAAGGGAACACTTCTGCATTTCTGGTGGGTATGCAAGCTGGTACAGCCCCTTTGGATGTCAGTGTTGCGATTTCTCAGAAAATTAGGAAACAAACTTCCTCAAGACCCAGTAATACTACTTCTGGGTATATATCCAAAGGATGCTCAATCGTGCCACAAGGACATGTGCTCAACTATGTTCATAGCAGCTTTGTTTGTCATAGCCAGAACCTGGAAACAACCTAAATGCCCCTCCATCGAAGAATGGATAAGGAAAATGTGGTACATTTACACAATGGAGTACTATACAGCAGAAAAAATAACATCTTGAATTTTGCAGGAAAAAGGATGGAGCTAGAAAACATTATTTGTAGTGAGGTAACCCAGACACAGAAAGACAATTATCACATGTACTTACTCATATGTTGTTTTTAAACATAAAGCAAAGAAAGCCAGCCTATAAAGCACAATTTCAGAGAACTTAGACAACAATGCAGACACTAAGAGAGACTTACATAGATCCAATCTACATGGGAAGTAGGAAAAGACAAGATCTCCTGAGTAAATTGGGAGCATGGGGACCT